AGCCTATCATTATGTAGTGTTTTAATGCAGTCATGTGGAATAGTGATAGGTTGACTAGATCATAAACTCCTTCTCTTCAGCTCAACGGATCGAGACTGGGCTGATCTTGTTGGCCTACATTTCTAAATTAGTATATATGCCAAGGGGGAAAAAGCTGACTCTGAAGCATCGGAGTCAATAGAGTCAATGGGAGTCAGCAGAGTCAGTTGGAGTCAGTTGGAGTCAGCAGAGTCAGCTGGAGTCAGCGGAGTCAGTTGGAGTCAGCGGAGTCAGCTGGAGTCAGTTGGAGTCAGTTGGAGTCACTGGAGAATCTGAGTGACTCCAACTAACCCTAAGTGACTACCATTGATTCTGAGCGACCTCCATTGACTCCGATTGACTCTACTGATTGCACTGACTCTAAATGATCCCTATTGATTCCACTGACTAGAAGTGTCTCTTTTGAATTCCGTTCCTAGGAATGGGAACGCGAGTTGCGTTCTCGTTCCCAGGAATACGAGCGAGAACGCATAACATTTACAATTTTTACTATCTGAATACTGGTCAATCCGATTTTTCGAGGCTGATAATTCAACCAATCAAATGTTTCTAGTGTTTGAATTCTAGCCAATCAGATTTTTTGAGACTAGAAATTCAGCCAATCAGGTTTTTGGAAACTGGAAATTCACCCAATGAAATGTTTTTATTGTTTGGATTCTAGTCAATCGGATTTTTGGAGACTGGAAATTCGGCTAATCAGGTTTTCCGAGGTTAGGAATTCAACGAATCAAACATTCTTACTGTTTGGATTATGGCTTGGACAGTGTAGTTAAAAATTTGAATTTGGTGAAATGTTCAAAACACTCTCTAATCTGAGCTGATATATTCGAACAATTCAGCTCTGCTCTCAGGAACTGTTGAAACATTTCACAGTTCAGGTGCTGGAACTGAGGTACCCAGAAAATTTCGACTCTAATTTTTTCCAAAATAGTTCTGGATTTTAAAGGTATTAGTTTTGTGTTTCATGGTAGGGCACTTTTGGGTCCTAAAAGCAAACAAGATTTTGAAGACCGTCAATTCCTGAAAGTTATTATTGAAACCGATCTTGATCTAAGCTAAAAAGCTCGAATAATTCCGCTCAACTCCTCGAAACTTTTTAAAGTTCTTTTGATTTGAACTGTACTGTGAAAACAGTGCATCAGCTTCTTTGGTCTGAGCTGTATGAGCTGAAACTGTTCTAGATCTAGTCTAGATTCTGGCTGCTCAGCTGTTATCGGTCTGGAGACTATGTGCGTGTGGATGTTTACTTCATGTAAACCTAAACCAATCCTCAGAGCCACGCCCACAGCCCACAGCCGATACCCACACCTGAATGCACCCGCACACACACCCAGACATTCATTCCATCTACTCGAAGACCCATGGTTGCCTCTATCCACACTCGCAAATAAACTGAAAATCATATCCACACTCGCGCACAGCGATACACGAATGAATTCAACTTTCAGCATTCAGAAACATCATTGACTGAGACTAGGATAGTGAACATATTTCATTGATCGAGCAATGAATTCAAAGTCCTAGGGTTCAGTGAATTTGAGTGATCAACAGATTTCCTTGATGACTGTCTTCGATAAAACAGAGTGTGAAAAAAAATAGCAGCATGTCAAGACATATTCTTTCGAGACTACGAATCGTTGTCGAAGCTATAAAGACAGCTATTTGAAGGATTCCTTTGCTAACCATCTTTGGTAGAACTATTTTACCCTAGCATAATATTTGCTACTGCCTTACCTACTTATTGAGCTTTAAAGTTAATGGAACTCAGATTCCAACTTCCGATATCAAAATTCTTAGATGTAGCAGTTTTTGGAAAACTCGGTTCTTACTGGATTGTGGTTCACTGATAAAATTTTGATGGAAATCTAGTCAAGATTCACAATTTTCGTCTTAGTAATTTAATACTCGAATGGATAGAAGTCTGAATATTCTTTCGGTGACTAAGAAGTATGGCGCAAATTTGCCACCATGCAGACGTCACAGAAGCTCACAGATCTCCATTTTGAATCGGAAAGATAAAATTTATAGAATTCAGAAATATACTTTATTGGCGAATTTTAGGAATACAAAAATTCTATCGATTGAGTATCAGATCCGACAAACAATTGACCGACTGATTTTACGTATGGCAAGATAGAGTATTGCGCGGATACAATATTTCGTACCCATATTCGACCCGAACAAGAATCAAGGCGCTACACTCCAGAAAGTCGATTTTCGTCAACAAAAAAATTATTTTTGAGAAAAGTGTACAGGGATATCACCTGAGACCTCTACTTTAAAGATTCATAAAAAAATTTCAGCTTTGAAAGGTTTCAAAGAGAGCTACTGTAAGTTTCTGAAACTCTCTATGGTAATATTCCTAGGCGAAATTCCGAAAACACCAAAGGAAAACGTGGATATCGCTGTCCTCTATTACCTGCATATGGCGTTAAAACCATAGGCTTATATATCTTGTTTAGTTTTAGTGATTGATATACAATATCAACATGTTTCATGTTGGTGTCTAACGACAGGCCGATGAAATGCAGAAAAAAAGTTTTTACACTTTTCTCAAAATCAATTTTTATGCCAACGGCCAATCTCCGCGCAAAATTTTTTTCAATATACTTCGTTCTAGAAAACTAGACTTTTTTTCATTTATTAAGGCAATCAATTCTTCTTCGGATGAGAGGAAGGAATTTTTTAATTCGGCTCTAGTCCTTCAGAAAATCTCGTCTGTCTGAAAAACCTATGATGGTATTTCAAGGTATTTGAGGTTTCGACGCCATCCAAAACTAAAGAGAGCAAGAATAAAAAATGTCTTCCCTCATCCGAAGGACCAAATAGTTCTCTTTCAAATAAAACAAACTCCAGTCCTCTACTTTAAAGCATAATGAAAAAAGTTTGTATGGACTAAGGACCCATTTTGAGTCTTGATCTCTAGAATACTCCTGAACGCTGAGGTTTACAGAAGGAAAAAAGTTCGTAAGTCTAGTTTTATGAGCCTAACATTCGTGAAAAGTTTCAGATAGATCTCTTGCACTGTATCTGAAATCGACTTCCGAGGCGGGAAGGGAGGGGAGCGGCCTCAATTTACCCATACCCTACCGGTGCTTGACAGTTCCTTACTTGTATATCTAATATCCGTACATGGCTCGTGCTTTTTCCATACCTCCAATACCGTCAAGTCATCTTATACGTACGGTCTCCATTATCTAAATTCAACATACAAGGTCGCTATTTTTCAGCCTGATTCCATAAGAATCCAATAATAATATTGATATGGCGAGAGTGTGGGCGTTCCTTTCTTTGGTACCCATACTAACAGCCACAGCCGCACTTACAACCCCATCCACTGGGGAGCTTTGGGTTCAGACTTTTGTGGAGCAGGACTCAAATTTGGACCCGAAGAGTATTAAAAATTTAGGGCAGAACTCAAAAAAAAATTAAAAGTTTGAATCCGGATCCGATCGAATTCAGACTAGGCCCCTACTGGGTTCAAATCCGACGTTTTCCCATCAATATCTAGCACGCTCCCCATACATGAACAAGTGAAGAGAGAATAGTTTAGCTAATTATTCACTAATCTCAGAAAATATTCAACATATAGTTATATCTTGTTGCTGTAGTTCTCACTTGGGGAGCTTCCGATCCACAAAATAAGTGTAAACGGGCCAGGCAAAAATAAAACGTTGGATCTGGGCCGGGATCTAGTTGAGTTCAGGTCCGGATCTCGAAAGACCCGCACCTCCCTAAAATTCACAGCATCAATTACGAATAAATGAAAGAGTATCTGACATATTTAGACTTAATGATTGCCATGAAATCTCTAGCGTTCCTGCAGTCCCGCTCAATTCTTTTTCACTAGTTGTTCAACTAGCTGGAATATGAAACAGCGATAGCTAAATGAGATAGTTGTCGATAACTGACTGAATAATTTTGCTACCATTTTGGTATATCAGTATATTTTCGACGAACGAATTTCCTTTTCATATAGTCTTTTTTTTCATCAAAGCGATCAGAATTTTTATGAGTTGATGTATCATCACTTTTCTCAGTAAATGAATTCAATACGTCGTTAACAGTAAGTGGAGCACTGCACGGGTAAAACTTGTGATGTTACTCTATTCACACCTATTTATTTTTTATTCGTGCTCTACTCGTACCTGATAGTTTCACATCCATATCCGACCAGTGCGTGGTAATTTCGCACCTGTACCCATATCGGTACAAGCATCCGGTCCGCGGGTTGCAGTGCTGTGGAAGAAATTCTATCAGTTGAGAGCCAGATGCGGAAACTATCTGGCTGGCTGCTTCCACGGATGGAAAAATCCTATTGGTTGAAATCCAGATGCGAAAGACACATGATTGGCCCGTTTTCTGAATCAAGATACCCTATCGATTGAGAGCCAAATGCAAAAAACACCTGATTGACTGGTCTTCTGCATCAAGAAATCCTATTGGTTGATTTCACTAACTTTAAGTGACTCAAATGCTACAGAGTCGGCTGATTTTTTGCTTGAGTTGGAGTCAATGGAGTCAGTTAGAGTTAATGGAGTCAGATGGAGTCAATGGAGTCAGTTGGAGTCAATGGAGTCAGTTGGAGTCAGTTGGAGTCAATGGAGTCAATGGAGTCAATTGGAGTCAGTTGGAGTCAGTAGAGTCATGGAGTCACGGAGTCAGCTTTTTCCCCCTTGATATATGCTAAAATTTTCAAATCTGTAGCCCAAAGAATGACTGAGATCACAGGGAAGATATTTTCAGCTAGCAGTGCACTGCTTCATTGAGGTCAATAGTATTAGTTCAAAACAATATTCGATGTTAGTTTCCTTGTGAATAAAAACTTCGAAATATTATTTATCATTGAGAAAAAAAGCAGACCGATTGATTAAGACAGGCTGGAAATATTGAGGGGCCCTAGTTATGAGCTATCCTGCATATTTCATTATTTGATATTGTTCTGATGTTAAATTTTTATTTTATTCATTTGTTTTATTTGTAGTTGTAGTTGTTGATGGTTTCGATGATATTGAAGTATTTGTTTCTTTTTTTGTAGTTGTTGGTTTTGTATCAGTTTCCATTTTAGTATCATTATCATTTTCATTTCCAGTACCAATGTCAATTCCAAATACAGTTTGAATCAATTTTAATAATTTTGAATTAGTTAAAAGTCTGATGAAATTAATTAATTAATTGAAACTATTTTATTATAAATAACATACGATGTATTATTTGGTTGTTCTTGCATCATTCTCATGAGCATAGCTGTTTCAGGATCTTTTAAAAGTTCTCGTGCTTTTGGATTTGTCACAAGTTGAGCCATAAATTGTGAATCGGAGAAGAAACCAAGCCCATTAGCCGATGATCTACTAGCATATTTTTATGCTGTTTCTAAATCAATTAGTAATTGTTGATTATTCAGTTCTATTTTAAGATCTTCTTCATAAACATTTATTGCTTCATCATATCGTTTTAGAAATGATAATGCAGCGTCTTTTCATGAATATTCCTTAAAAAGAAATATTTCTTTTTTGATTAAAAGAATTTTTTTTTCGTACTTTAACAAAATCAGGTTTTAGTGTAATACATTGTTCAGCATCTTTTAATGCATCTTCATATTTATTTGATTTAGCGTAAGCAGCTGAACGATTACTATAGAGTATATGATTTTTTTTATCAAGTTCTATAGCTTGAGTATATAATTTAATTGCATCATCATCACTTTTACCAGCTGAAAAAGCAGTATTTGCTTTGGATTTCAATTCTTCAACTTGAAGATATATAAATAAGATTATTCATAACGTATAAAATCTAACCTGAGACGCCATAAATGAAAATGATGAAGATAATAATGAAAAGAGAAATCTACAATTTGTATTTTAAACAATCAAAATATGTCGAGAAAAGTTA